GCTATACTCAAACGCCAACTAAGTGTTTTGCACACAGCTACACTTAGCAACTACGAGTGTTTTACACACGGCTGCACTCTCTAGAGTATTTTGCACACAGCTATACTCTTTTTACAATTACAAATATGATGGTAATTGTATCTCTCTCCAACTAATTTTGAGACTATTCAGACTAAGTCTCTCTTCTAGATATTTCAATGAATATTTAGACTCAAGAGAATTTTGCTCGTATAGATCACTTGTTGTCTCTTTTCCGCACTTCTCTATCTTCTTCAAGTCTTCATGACCTTTTTATAGATAATCAAATATATCTGTTGGAGTGGGATAATTTGATATTTGAAATTTGAATCTTGTAGCCTGATATTGTTGACAATAGTGGGTCTTCAATTTGATTTGATTGTCAACTTGCATGACAAGAAAATATTTTTATTTCAACTTGATTTTCAAGTTGTTTCTAAAATATTATTATCTTTGTCAATTTTGAATTTCCAACGTCTCTTGGCAATAAATCCTTCTGACTTGATTTATTTTTAGGATAAGGTCTTTATCCATGCCTTCATAAATTTTTCACCATTCTGATCATGTCTTCATGCAATTTGGATTCTTGTGACATGTGAGATGAACCAAAATAAATTCATTCGAGTTTATTTAATATTCAGATCATCCTTGCTTGTTTGTCACATTTTGCTCATTAGAGACACATTGTGCTTATTTTGCCTTTCTTGCTTGTCAAAATCAGATCTTGCTTTTTTGACCTGGCACATCTCGCTTGTTTGACCTAGTCACATTGTGCAATGTGCTCCTTTGATCTGATCACATTTACATCTTGCTTGTTTGGCCGCTTCTTGATCTTGCTTGTTTGACCTGGCACATCTCGCCTGTTTGACCTGGTCACATTGTGCAATGTGCTCCTTTGATCTGATCACATTGTGCTCTTTTTCACATGTGCTTATTTTACATCGATTCTTGATCTTGCTTGTTTGACATGGCACATCTCGCTTGTTTGACCTGGTCACATTGTGCAATGTGCTCCTTTTATCTGGACATTGTGCTCTTTTTCACATGTGCTTATTTTACATCTTGCTTGTTTGGCCGCTTCTTCAGACTTGGCCTTTGCAAAAAGATAAATCTTTAGGGGGATTCGATCTTGTGTATGATCATTTATGTGCAAAGACTTTTAGCATTTCATTATGAAGCTCATCCAATCATTCATTGTAACACTTTTGTTAAATGCTTGTCTTCTGGATGAATACTCGTTGGACCAAAATTAATTTTGTTCTTCATGTAGTAGTCTTTTCTTTGCTTTGTGACTTGACATACTGAATTATGATGCTTGTACTAAAGACCTAAATTCTAAGGGGATCTAAAGTACATTTGGCTCATCAAAACTTTATTACAAAAATATTCATATCACTCTGAATTGATCAGGAGATAACCCTATGTCCCCAACTTGGTTCACTGAAGCATTTGATGTATGGTAGATTTCCTCACTCTGTTTGTTTCTGGATTTATAGCTAGCTACCCAACCAGGAGGGTATCCATGCTTTTTATAGCATTTCTCCACAATGTGACCAAGCATGTTGCAATATGTGCACTTTGGTACATTCTTTCCCCCATTGGTGTTGAACTTCTTCTTGTTATATGATGTTGAGACTGGCACAAGACGTTGTTCATCTATATACTGACTTGAATTGTTCTAAACAACATTGGATTGAACGATTTCAGTACTTTTATGACTATCAGCATTGAGTTTCCTTTCCAGATTTAGAGCCATATGCAAGACCTTCTCCAAGCTTGGAATAGGATCCATAACCAATACACCAGATTTTATAGTTTCAATGTCATCATTTAAACCTTATAAAAATCTTATGATCTGATCATTCTCCCTATCTTTTCGCATCTTGCTCATGAGATTACAAGAACATCTAGGAACACACTCACACACAGGAAAAAGTCTCATAACATTTAACTGTTCCCATGAGATTACATGCATTTGTAGGTGAAAGTAGGTTGTTGAAAGAGCAAGAGCTCAACACATGCTAGCTGAGAATCAAACTGATTGGATGAAAAAGGTTCAAAGCTTGTATTAACTTGTGATTGTTCTTACTATAAAAGGGAGGGAAAGACAGTACATTTATACGGAAGAAAAGCAGTTATAACTTATAACAGAAGCCTATCATGGAAAATACAAGAATGCCCTTGGCATTGTTACACTCTTCATCATAGGTGCACTTGTAAGTGATTTTACTTGCACTTTTTACTTGTATAGGTGCACCAATTACTTGCACATATAACATATTTACATGCACCAAAGGACACGTGGCGCGCGCTGGATGGTTCTCAGTTCTCTCCTTAGCGACCGTTAGCATGAGAGTGCGCCCATATATATATATATATATATATATATATATATATATATATATATATATATATATATATATATATATAACGCACTCAGGTGCGAATAAGTGCCCAGGAAGGAAATGCGAACGAATCAGCGCGCGACACGTGTCCAGATCTAATAACTTAAAAAAAAACGCAGTGGCATTTTCGTAAATAATTGAACATCGAAGTGCAAGTAAAATCTCTTATAAGTGCACCTATTTTCACCTATTAGTGCATGTAATTTTGCCTTGTTAGCATTCACTTTCCGCAACCATTCATGCACCTGGGTGTGCTTATAACTATATGTGCAACTATTTATAACTATAGGTGCAACTACTTATAACTATATGTGCACCTACTTTCACCTATAAGTGCATGTAATTTTGCCTTGTTAACATTCATTGATCTGAGTTCGCGAGTAGTAATACTCCTGAAAACCACTCGCAAACATTCATACACCTAGATGCAACTACTTATACCTATGTGTGCAACTACTTAGAACTATTGGTGCAACTACTTAGAACTATAAGTGCAACTAAGTATTGATGCTCAGTGTAAATTTTTACTTGCACCTATAATACATTTTACATGCACTTGTAATACATTTTACTTGCACCTCGATGTTCAATTATTTACGAAAATGCCACCGCGTTTTTTTTAAAAATCAGTGTTTCTCATCCATTAGATCTGGACACGTGGACGAACAGAATCCATTCCTATTTCGCGCCTGGGCGAGTCGTTCGCACCCGAGTGCAAGTCTATATATATATATATATATATATATATATATATATATATATATATATATATATATATATATATATATATATATATATATATATATATATATATATATATATATATATATATATATATATATATAGAGAGAGAGAGAGAGAGAGAGAGAGTTAATGGATTGATTTGCTGCCGCTCCAAGATTCTGAGGGTCGAAATGCTTTCTACGGCTGAGACACCGGAAGCCAGCGATAGGCCGCCGGACTTTCACGACCCCCCAAGGGTAACAAGCGCTGATCTCCCGGAGTAACTCCTGGCTAGAGAACCTTTGCCTGAAGTCGTGCCGGAAACGCCCCAACCCACTTCTTCAGCGGCTCCGGCCTCCGTTAATTACAAGGCTAGCCTGTTGAACAACACGCACTTCAAGAATTTGGACCTACCTGAGGAAGTCGCATCAGAAGATGAGGAGTCGGTTGAACATGCGAATCCAGACTGCCCTAGAATCAAGATTACCAAAGAGGATAAAGAAAGGATTAGACGGCTATAGCGTCGGACGCTTATCATCAAGCTGCTCGGAAGAATGGTGGGCTATGGCTACTTATCCCGGCGCCTTCGAACTTTATGGAAACCAGATGCGCATTTGGAACTTATTGATCTTGACCAAGATTACTACCTAACAAGGTTTGAGTCTCAGAACGACTACGATGCGGTAAGGTTTGGGGGCCCGTGGATGATACTGGACCACTACCTTCTTGTTCAGGAATGGAGACCCAAGTTCAACCCGCTCACCGACTCTGTTGAGAAGATCCTAGTCTGGGTAAGACTACCCACGTCCCGATCGAGTACTTTGATGAACTAATTTTGATGCGAATCGGAAACAGTATTGGTCGTGCCATCAAAGTTGATATCACCACAGGCTTGGCTACCAGGGGAAAATTCGCTAGGATTTGTGTGGAAATCGATTTGTCTAAGCCGCTACTAGCCAAATTTGAAGCGGAGGAGGAATGCTACCCTGTGGAATACGAGGGCATTCATTTGATCTGTTTTAAATGTGGGTTATATGGTCACAGAGCTGAGCTCAGCGAACAAGAAGGGTGCAAAACCAGCTTGGAGGCTTCATCCACGATGGATCTTGACAAGGATAATGACCAACCTATGGGACCTCCGCAAGAACCAATCCAGACCAAGAAACCAGCCGCTACTAGAGCTCATATGCAAGAGAAGTTCGGATCTTGGATGATCGTGAAGCGCAGGGATCGAATGCCTCCAAAGAAAGACGACCAAAAGGCTGCTCGGAAGGATACTCACAGTACTCCCATGGGGGACAATGTTCATCCGCTTCCCAATAACCTCTCGCTTAACTCTTGTTTTAGTCCCCTGAAGGATCTTGAGGAGGAAGGGTTGGCTGAGGACCAAGCTGCGGTTTTCAACTTTGGCGAGAGGCTGCAAGGGGAATCCTCAGCCACGCCAACTCCGGGTTATAAATCACTAGAGAATGTCAGACTCCCCATGTCACCTTTGAAGCGGCCTCGACCAGTCCAGACTCGTCACATTAGGAATACAAGAGGGAGAGGGGGTAGACTGGCTACTCCCTGTAGAGCGGCAGCGGAAGAAGATCACATGGTGGTGAGAGGGTCGACCAGAGGGAGGGTGGTGACATCTACCATAGTGAATCACCGGCCCAATGACCTTGGAATTTTCTCACCCACTGCTCTCAACTCACCTTTGCTGAATACCCCGTTGGATGATAGGGTGGACTTCTTTGATTGTGTCACTCCTAAAGAGGCCATGATCGAGGAGGGTGGCAAAGACAACCAGCTTGGCACGAATTTGGATCATATTAGGCTCACTGGAGCCTCTCCTTCCTCTAATAGTTTAGGATGAATGTTCTAGTGTGGAACTGCCAGGGAGCGGCGTCACGTTCGTTTCGCCGCACTCTCAAACAGTACCTCCGTGAGCACAAGTCTGTCATTACTTGCCTCCTAGAACCCAGGGTCTCCGGGAGTCAAGCTAATGACATTTGTTTTGATTTAGGTTTTGATGAATGGTGTAGAGTCGAGGCCGTTGGCTTCTCTGGAGGTATATGGGTGCTATGGAAAAGTACCATTTCGGTTACAATCCTGCACACCCACCCTCAGTTTATTTTGCTAGATATTGTCGATTCAGATTCTCTTTTGTGGAAATTTTCAGTGGTTTACGGCAGCCCTGACCATTCCCTTAGAAACGAGTTATTTTCTTGCCTCTCACATGATGCGCTAAATCTGCAGGGCGCATGGCTTACAGCAGGTGACTTCAATGCGGTTACTTGCAAGGACGAAGTATCTAATGGATCCAACCTTGCTTCTTCAAGATGTGCAAGCTTCAAAGATTGGCTCTCCAAGGAAGGATTGATTGGTCTTGGATATTCTGGCCCCAAGTTTACTTGGTTTAGAGGCTTGTCTCCATCATCGTTCAAAGCTGCCCGCCTGGACCGCGCTGCTTGCAATCTGGACTGGAGAATTCTGTTTCCGGACGCAGATGTTACTCACTTGCCCATAGCAAGCTCGGACCATGCCCCATTACTTATCCGCACCAGACCTTGAAACATCGGACTCAAGCGAAAATGTTTAGGTTTAATGCAGTTTGGGCATCCCATCCTAACTTCTTACAGTTTGTTGGGGAAAATTGGAGCGAGGAAGACGAGTTGGACCAGAATAAAACAAAGCTGGCCCCTAAACTTCAGGAGTGGAATAGGAATACTTTTGGTAACATTTTCCATAGGAAAAATAAAGTGTTGGCTAGATTGAAAGGAGTTCAGCGCAGCTTGGCATTTAACTGGAGGTCGGATCTCATTAAACTGGATAGGAAACTGCGAGAAGAATTGGAAGAGATTCTGTCACAGGAAGAAATGTTGTGGTTCCAACGATCCCGCGAGGAATGGATCACATTCGGAGATCGCAACACGAGGTTCTATCATGCGGTAACGGTAGCCAAGAACGCGGCTTCCAGAATTACCAAGCTTAGAAACGAGGAAGGGGCGTGGCTGGAGAATGATGATTTGATTAGGGATCACATTTTCAACCACTTTGTTAGTCTCTTTACTAAGGATGGTAGTGCTTTGGCCATCTCTAGCAGCTCCAGCTCTTTCCCTAGCCTATCCAAAACAGATTGGGACTGGGTAAACAGACCTTTCTCCCCTCTTGATATTAAACAAGCCTTGTTTGACATGGCCGCATTCAAGGCTCCCGGTCCAGATAGCTATCATGCAAGCTTTTATCAGCAGGCCTGGCCGGTGGTTGGTGATAGCTTAATCAAATTTTCCCTCAACTTCTTTGAGTCCGGTGTGCTGCCGGAAGGATGTAATGACACCTTAATTTCCCTGATCCCAAAAATCCCAAGCCCGGAGACCGTCAAGCACCTACGGCCCATTGGAATTTGCAACATCACCTATAAGCTTATCACAAAAGCAATGGTGTCTCGGCTGAAAAACATTATGCAGAAGCTCGTCGGACCTTCCCAATCTAGTTTCATCTCGGGACGACTGATTTCGGACAACATACTGGCCTATCAGGAAATCCTTCACTCAATGAGAAACAAAAAAGGGATTGGTGGTTGGATGGTTGTCAAGGTTGATTTGGAAAAAGCATATGACCGGCTTCGCTGGAGTTTTATCCGTACCACATTAGAAACAGCAGGCTTTAATGATCGTTGGGTTAGAAACATCATGGAATGTGTCACCACATCTCGGCTTGACATAACTCTAAATGGTGAACAATCTCAATGGTTTAAACCTTCCAGGGGTATTCGCCAAGGTGACCCAATGTCTCCTCTTCTTTTCGTTCTCTGCATTGAGTATTTTAGCCATCTAGTAAACCAGAAGGTGGCATCTGGAGAATGGAAAGGAATACGCGCTTCCAGAAACAGTCCCTGTGCCTCACACATGATGTTCGCGGACGATTTAATCTTGTTTGGGGAAGCTTCTGAACAGCAGGCCAACACTATCAAATCCTGCCTTGACACTTTCTACAATGAATCTGGTCCGAAGGTAAATTACCTGAAGTCTTCTGTCCTCTTCTCAAAAAACACTAACCCGCTCATCCAACAGTCAATCTCCATTGCCTTGGGCATCCCACCTTCGGCAGATCTCGGCAAATATCTTGGAGTCACTTCACTTAACGGCAGACTGAAAAAAGAAACCTTTGGTGGGCTCGTAGAGAGCGTGGAAAACAATCTCTCAGGCTGGCGAAGAAATACACTGTCCCTAGCTGGAAGGCGTACGCTTGTTCAATCAGTTTTATCAGCAATACCTCTCTACACAATGCAGATTACCCGTCTCCCCACAGGTGTTATTCAAGCTATAGAGAAAGCCATCCGGAGTTTTTTATGGAGGAAATGGCAGGGACAGAAAATGTAGTCTAGTAGCATGGGATACAGTCACCAGAACCAGAGATCAAGGGGGGTTGGGCATACGGAATCTCAGTGATATGAACATAGCTCTACTCACTAAGCTAGGGTGGAGGCTATAATGTGGCGAGGATAGCCTATGGGCTAATATCATGAAAGCTAAATATTCGGTAATCTGCTCTGAACCCACCACCTGGGCACCCAAGTCATCTTCTTCAAGCGCTTGGAAAGGAATCTTAAGATCAACCCCTACGTTGGCCAAGGGAACGAGGAAACTAGTCAGGAATGGCAGATCCTCTTTATTCTGGCTCAACTTGTGGCTGGGTCATTGCCCGCTGAAAGACGTACTCCCAATGAACTTACCCTTACCAGAGCTTTATAAGAACATCTCAAACTATTGGGACAATGGGCGAGGCTGGGATTGGTCCTCTCCTATCAATCTGCTGCCTCAGGCTACCAAAGACCAACTGTTGGCTGTTAAATTGTTCGACGGACAAAATGATTCTCTCGGCTGGGGAGAGAAGAAGGCGGAGAAATTCTCAGTCACATCGGCATATTCTATGATCTCAAACAGCATAGAGAACCTTGGTCAGAAAGCATGGGAGAATATATGGAAACTCAAGGTCCCCAGCAGGATTCACACATTCCTCTGGCTGGCAAAGCATAACAAGATCATGTCCAACGATAACAGATCTGAAGAGGCTTTACTGATTGTAACCTATGCGACATTTGTAACACCGAAATCGAGACCACTGAGCACATCCTAAGATCTTGCCCAGAAGCCAGAAGAATTTGGAAACTCGCTTTGCCAAGTATGGCCCTGGACAATGACATGAGCTGTTTTTCAGATTGGTTTGACAGAGGCATAAGAGGTACTTCCATTCACCGACATCACAATGATGGTGTTCTATTTGCCTTAACACTCTGGTGGCTCTAGAAATGGCGAAATGATAGAATCTTTAATAACAAGAGGACTGGTGATGGGCAAAAACTCTACTGGGTCCAGTCGCAACTGGGAGAAATCAACAAAGCTTTTGAAAATGCAAAGAAGCCCGGTACTAACAGTTCTCAGTATAGCTGGAAGTTGATCAGATGGTCCAAACCCCCTAGGGTTTGGGTAAAGATCAATATCGACGGAAGCTACGATCCTATTTCGAATAAGGCCAGTTGTGGGGGTCTTGCTCGCAATGATCATGGCGATTGGCTTAAAGGCTTCAGATTCTATATTGGCAGCTGCCCTGCAGAGTTGGCGGAGGCTTGGGCATTGTGGAAAGGCATTCAGCTTGCAAAAACATTAGTCAAAAGTCATGTATGCTTCGAAAGTGACTCCAAGGCGCTAGTAGATGCAATTTGCCAAGGCACCAATAGTGGCAGTTTCATGGACAATATGCTGAATCTTTGTAGACAGAAGCTTGGTTTTTTTGAGGTCTGGTATTTTGCTTTCGTTCCCAGAGATATAAACCGAGCCGCGGACTGGTTAGCAAAAAGCTATTCCAACCAAGATCGAACGCCCTGGCTGAGCTCACCACCGGATGATCTCCTGCAGATTTTAGAATTCGATAGATTTGGAGTTCCTATTTGGCGCCAAGATGCCTTGTAGTTTTAGTTTGCTTGTGGGTGTCCCCCTTCCTTTCTGATATTCAATATAGAGTTAATGTCATTTTTTGTCCTAGACTTATTGACGAATTGACACTTTTCATCCTCCGTAATAAAAATTGCCACTTAGTAGCCACTGTTATTACTCGTTGGACAGTTTTCATCCTCCGTCAACGAAGCCGTTTGTTGACCGTGAATTAGAAGGGCTTTTCTGTCTTTCTATGTCTTATTCTTCTAATCTTGTTTAGACCAGCGCTGCTGTGACTCCTGTGAGGCGAGATGGCGAGACTTGGCGGCTAAGTAGTAACCGTCGGTAGTGAGTAGCAGCGAGGTTCTTCTCCGGCGAGTTGTGGCTACGGCGGCGAGCATACGAGGCAGTAACTCCTTCTGGCGAAGGACGAGTAGGGCAGATCTGGCGGTGCAGCAACAGATCCGGCGAGGTTGGGGCCTTCACCGGTGGTTTTTGGTTCCGGCGAAGCAGAGAGGGCAGCAGGTCGGCGAACCCTCCTCTGGTAAATAGCAGTTGTAGTTGTAGATGGCGTGATGTAGAATTTTCACCTCTAAGTCCTCCCTTCCATATTGAACACAAATATCCTTCCCATCTCTCTCTCTCTCTCTCTCTCTCTCTCTCTCTCTCTCTCTCTCTCTCTCTCTCTCTCTCTCTCTCTCTCTCGTTGACCAGAACTACTTGGTGCACAACCTCAAAAACTCTGTTATTCTACCTGAAATTCATTGAAGTTTCAAGCTGAAAATATGGAATCCGCCGCTCCCCAAAAATCGCATTGTCTGAGGTGTTGGAATGGCCGGTGTTGACTTCTTGGCTACTGTAGCTTCGTTCCCGAACCCGGATGATAAAATTCGGAGCACCAGCTTTGAGGTTCAAGGAGGTGATAACACTCGCACGTGCATTTTCACTCCAAGATATCCACCCATGATATCTGAGGGTCTACATACCCAAATCAAAATTGTCTTCAGCGCTTGGAGTAAATATTTTCTACTTAGATGGAAGGCTGCATGAGACTACTTTGATTGTAGTGCAAGAGGCAAAGAGTAGGGGCATACCTATTATAGTTGATGCAGAAAGGTTAAAGGAGGGGTTGGATGATATTCTTGACTTTGCTAGTTATGTTTTATGCTCGACAAAATTTCCACAGGCATGGACTAACGCCCCTTCTATTCCAACTGCACTTGTTTTAACTATTTACGAAGAAGAGAAAATTCACAAGCCATGAATGCATTACTTTTAAATTAATAAATGAAAATCAAAAGTAAATTAAAAAAAATTATTAAATAATAATCAAGACTAATCCAAGTTTTTTTTTTCCTTTTCACCATATTTTTTATAACAATTATAAATTCATAAATATAATTGCTTAAATCATATTACATTTTCAAATTTCAAAGAGAATTGCAAGTGGTGATTTAACATAACATTAAAATAGAGTTTGATATAAATTTTTTTCACAACTTAATGCCTTTTAAAATTATTTCCCTTTTTTCTTATATTTATTTTAGTAATAATATAATTGCCTAAATCATATTACAATATCAATTTTTCCAAGATAATTGCAGACAGAGTAATATATTATTCAATTAATTGGGT